GTTGATTTTTTACTCAAAAATCTAGAATTTTTTTTCTGATGCTGCCATTTTGTTAATTTTTACAAAAAAAGAAAACCTTCGATCAGACCCAGGATTATATATTTATAAAACTATTTTTTTTATTTGATTGATTTTAGATTAATCTCTAGGGAGTTATGTTGGTCACCGCCAGGACCGTTTTTTGAAACAAGGTCAACAGCTATAACTTTGGGAATATTTATTTTATTTTTCTGAAATTTTTGTTACTTCAAGTCAAAACATTGTATAATAATGTCGTATTAATATTTTCGTAAAAAAACATCGTATAATAACAAAAAAAAATACTGAAAATTCTCATTTTTTCGTGCCTCCAAGTGCCCCTAACCCCTTAAGTACAAGTAATTGTACATTTGTATGCAAGTACAGTTTAATATACAAATCCATGTATCTTTGTACAAATGTGCGTCAATTCGCATCGGTGTGCGAGTACACGGTCCGAGGTTCGTGTACGGGCGGACATGGCGCGCTCTGGGAGATGTACCGGCCGGATGAATTTCATTAAGAGAGGCGAACGCGATTTGCGTTTTGCTCTGACCGCTCGCACTCTCAAACAATTCAATTGTTTTCAATTACACGTTATTACGAACCGTTTTATATGATGAAATTATCATCCGCACGCTTTGTGTTTATGCTGCTTGTTCAAGCACTCGTTGAGATTTCCACTGGAATTTCAATTCAGCAATATTCACCATTAATTTGTTGCCGGCTAGTAGGATTTTTAATCTATGACTGCGTTTGATTGTTGCGCATCAGGGATAATCATGTTGCTGTTTGAACCTACTTGAGATAGGTTGAGCAAAATGATACTAATGCCAAATAAATTTTGGTGTAATATCGCAATGCTGTAAGAGAAATACGGACAAAATGGTATATATGGAAACAATAACACAGTAGCCTTTTTTAAGTAAAACTTCTTTAGGTGCGACTAGGGTGTAAATCCGTACAAATGCAACGGAAGTGCGTTACGGCAGATAAGATAAGATAAAAGTCGAGTGCCAATGATTCGTCATTCGCTCTCAATGATATTATTTCTATACGGGTCGATTGTGATTAGTCGTCGCGTATGTGAATAGAGATCTGTCGTTGTATGCGTACCGGCATCGACGTTGTATGCGTATCAACAAGGAAATGGGCATAGATAAATAAACATTTTAAAGTTACATCCTAGTACAAATCTTGATTCAATGAAAAATGCCTGAATCAAAAAAATTTTACCCTGTCCCACGTAAATAATTATAATGAAAATAATAAAACAAATACAGCATTTGCGCCGTGTATGAAGCATAAGTTTATTGAAATAATTTCTATATTATTCGTAGTTTTTATAAATCTTTGAAGTTATTGAAATGGAAAATATTTTTTAGGCGAAACAGATATTACAGCTGTTCAAAGAATGAGATTATATTTCGCCAGCGAATAAGTAAAAAAAATACCATCAGTCAATGAATGTATGTTAATTTTAATTACATAAAGTTCTTCAAACATAATTACATGATGAGTGAAGTTGCAAAAACAATATTTATTTAGGCGTTGTTTAACATAATCCACTGTGTGAACGAATATTATAGAATTTATTAATCAGCAATTACTTTATTTCTCTAATGAAGGTTCATTTCTAAATGCAAATTACAATGACAAACCGATCATGTCGCATTTGAAGTATGACTTTAATTACATTATTGTTTTTAAATATTATACATACTTTTAATGCTATTATAAATATATAATTTATAATTTATCATTATATAAATGTGTATAATGGTCGACACTAATAAATATGTGCATCATGAGTGTTACCATATTACTAATAAACATTATTCAAAATTGTAATATGATGTGTTTATTTTTATTTAATATAAATGTGCTTTTTTATACAGTAGCAAATAAGTTTTACTTTAATCGCGTGTGAACCTTACGCGCACTCTTTTTTTTATACAAAATTATTTTTGTCAATTAGAACCAAAATAGTATTACTATACTAAACTAAAAAGTGAAAAAAATAGAGAAAATATAAGAAATGCAATAAATTGAATTGGAAACAAATCAACAGAACTAAAATGATATGATAAAAGTGATATAAGAAAATTTAGGGCGATATCGTGGTGATGTATGCCGCGGGCTGAACAAGTTTTATTAATCATTTTCCCTATCCTGTACCATTTTTCTTTTTAGCGCAAAAATTCCTTATCGTGTGTCAGTCATTTTATGAGAATTTCCGAAGTTTTCACGCTTTGCTCTCAGTGATGGAATGAAAAAATAATGAACTTGAAAATGTTCTAGCGTAATATCTAAACGCTCGCTTATATGACAGTAGAAGTAGTACTCATATTGTTTTATAACTTTAATGCCACGTTCCCGGTTTTCTAGCACTCTTGTGTAACGCAATTTAAAATTATTTTCAATATTTTTCACTTAGTGTTCTTGCAAGTATATATCAAGAAATTCTGTAAAAAGATCTTATTAGCAATAATGTCATACTCTCTTATTAGTTAGCTGTTTCTCAAAAGACCCGATTTTTAATATAGTTTTTATATACGTAATTATAACTGTTTATTCCTACTTAATACATTTTCACATTGCTACTGATGGAAAACAGGCTTTCGGACGCGGGTTTTCAAGTTGGAGCTTCTGATTGGGAGCCCATAGCTTTAACCACTAATACACGGAAGAGCCTATTATTATATAATTTACATAGTCAGTGATTTTGCACTGATATTTAGTGGAAATACAGATAAAATGACGTAATGTTTTATTTTTTTATGACTCACTTTTAACAGTCCCACTCCTTTTTACTCATCTTTGGTTCTTGACTATCAGTAACATAGTATTTTAATTCAGTAAGAACTATAATAACATTTATTGAGGAAAAAAACAACCTAATACAAAAACCATTTTGTCCACATAATATGGACAAAATGACATATAGGGTAAGGACATACTGAAATAATCATTTTTAAGAAAACCATTTACAAATAAATCGTTTTATCTTCTTTGGGACATTGGCTCCTGAACCATGAACCAACCATGAAAATGTAACGCTATTTCCGTTGCATTTGTACGGATTTACACCCTAGTCGCGCCTAAAGAAGTTTTACTTCAATAAAATAGATTTTATACAAAAATAGCAAACCATTCCTTTTAATGATAAATTTATGACCTGAAATATGAGGTAGGCATAAAAGAGGTAGCGAAATCAAACATATAGAACAGCATTGTGTATACTAAATATGATGAACGAGAATATTCTTGTAGTTATGATTATCCAAATGCTTGTAATCATTGTAATGGTATTGCTTTTTTATTTAGAGATGACCTGTTTATGGTGACGAAGCTTAAAAAAATTCATTGGGCAAATTTTGTTTTGATGATTTTTCACACATTTGAACAATGTTAACAATCGAATGATCAATTCAGTTGAAAAAAAGTTCAGCTGAATTAGCAAATGGAAACGGCGATTTATTCAATTATTGGCATCACATACTTTGGCCACTCCGCAAAACCTATTGGAGTTTGGTAGAGTTGTTTTACCATATCCACCATATATTTCTGACCTTGCAACTGCTGATTACTTTTTGTTTCGATCTTTCCAAAACTCCTTAAAAAGCAAACAAACCAATGATTATGATGGTGCCTAATTATACCTGATTCAGTTTTTTGCTTATAAAAACCAAAAGTTTTATAAAAGTGAGATAATGATGCTGTTTGAAAGAGGACAAAAAGTCATTGATCAAAATGATCAATACATTACAAAATAAAGTTAATTAGTTCCATGAAAAATATGACTTTAATTTTCTAACAAAAATCCGCAATTACTTAGTTCCCAACCAAATATTAGAATTAAAAAATATATTAAAGATTCTGAATTATATCTGATTTGGACTTAACACTAGTCTGTTTGACAGATGGCAACCCAATCAGTTGTCACATCTCTGTATATAATTATTATTACAATTTCTGTAATAGGGAGAGTATATTTAATGATGCAGCAATGCCGGATGAGGGCTATTTTCACTTGGAAACATATTGCTATCTATATTTTCAAGCGAAAATCGAGTATAAAAGATAAAACAGATTTTTTTACGTTACTGCAAAAAAATAAGCCAGTTAAAACCGTTATCATAATAATTGTTAAATATGAGTGAATGATTAATACAAAACCAATTGCAAGTTTATCTAATTAAATTTGCGCTTGTAGATTGATATTGAATATCTTATATTGTTTTATGTCAAAAGAACCGAACTTTTCTGAAGTACATCAAATATTCTGCGGAATAAGTGGTTTCTCTCCCTATATTTATTGTAAACACACCAACTGTGTTCCTTGACAGAAAGGATATAAGAATTCCACTGTCATTTTGTTGTCACATGGTGGCTGCACGCAGGCCTGTCTCGGTTAACAAGGGAATAAGGAGATTGAAAAACAAATCACACTTACGGAAAAAGGTTTTTCTTTTAAAGCTGCAAATATGCGCTGTATTATAGACTCAAGTCTCGCGTACGTTACTGGACATATAAAACAAGGTTGTTTTTACCAGAAAATAGAATTACGAAGGAAAAATTTGCTATAGAAAAAAATTAACAAATTCCATAATATAGACATCGTATGCAATAAATGAATAATATGTATGTATGAACAGAGTCTGAGAACAATTAGTTTTTTAGAATTTCATACATTCATATAAATATTTATTATTATTAAATAAATTACCAAAATTGGTGATCGCGACGTGATCACTATGGTATGATTTATTAAATAATAATACATAATTTTATGAGTTCGCGATTTATTTTACCTCTTGTCTTAATATTGCCACACTTTAAACAATTTATAACGGTTTCAATTACTTATTATCGCAATAACAGAACAAGTGGCTTGTTTTAGACAACAATCAAAAATTAATTATAAATTAAATTATCACATAGTATTTTTTTTTTAATTTAATAGTGCCAAAACCTCTTACCTTTGTTTCGCTGTTGGTTTTTCGTATCACATTTACTCTGCAAAAAAAAGAAAACCACTATTAGTAAATGAAAAAAAAAACTTACATACATTAACTCATTTTTAAATTTATTGTTTAACAAACCATCTGTATTCTTAAAAACTTGGAACAATTGTTTCACTATTTTTGACTATGATCCTATAAATGTTGCTTAAGATTATGGTTTCATAATTATATATATATTCATAAAAATTGACAACCAAATTGAATAACAAAATTGAATAACCAAAAAATAGTTACAATTCGATCAATGTGCTAAGGTTTACTCAAACGCTCGTGATTTTCAAAAAAGCATGATTTTTATGATGGGTACAGTCAATTGTGCCACCCTGTTTTGGCTTGACGTTTAGTTCTCGATCACCCTGTATATATAAATTCTTTCTGAAAATATGATGATAACGACCGAGAGAGAAAATCGCATATTGTCCTAATGCTCTGCATAAAAATACAATTCAATTTAGTGGTGCATGGCATCGAGCCTTTAGACAAATTACTAGAACTTTTTGTACCAAAAATTAAATTTTTTAAAAAACTTTAATTTTCTTTGAAAACAAATCGATTTTTGAGAGTTTAGAAACTTTTGAAAAAAATTGACTTTTTGCAAAAATATTTTATTTTATATAACAATCGCACTATGTAATTGTTTAAGAAATAAAATATCAAAACGTTGATACGGAACCTATGTATTATAAAGGGTATGGGCGCATTGCCATACAGAATCGGCCCCACCCTGGCATTTAAATAATTTATACGCCGTTTTATAGCTCTAAATGATAAAAACAAATATACCAATTTTCAACTTTGTACCTCATCTTATGGCCGAGATAACATTGAAAATATGCCAAAGTGGCCCTTTTTTTCAAACTCACTTTTTCGCGTAACCATAAAAGATATCGAAAATATTTTTACGGGATTCTATTCACATTGGCTCAGACCACATTATGTAGAACAATCGATGCCAAAAAATTGTTTATTATTAGCTGAAAAAGACAAAATAATTTTTCAATTGGTGTTTTCGTGCAGTGCGTTTAGTTGGACCACTTTCTAATTAGCGTTATTCGAAAGCCTAATGTTTCTTCTTTAAGTACTGCAAATATTGTTCAAATCAATTTGGTGGAACACATTGGAAAATTGAAAAAACCGGAGCCAGTACACCCGCGCATAACGCTAATAGTACCCTGCAATTGCATAGAGTTCGTTCGGACGCAAAGCAGTGCGCGATGCCCCCGAAACGATTCTTCAGAAATTCTGAATGCGAAAATATTTATTTTATAGTTATATGTATACATATAAAGTAATGATATAATAAAACATTGTAGTTTCAATAATTCCAAGAAACTTTTTTTTTAATGATAGTTGTAACATTGTGATAATAAAGCCCTTAATGCGACCAATCTTTATCAGTACTACAATACTAAAAAGAATATGACAAATGGCTATCAGATTTTTTTTACGTTTTTATTATTTAAAGTTCTTATAAAATATTCGTCATTTATGTAGAAGTTTTTTTATATAGTACTTCAGTAATTTACAAAAATTATTACTGAAAGTATATAAAATGTATTTATTAAATTATTTCGAAAATTATATTATTTATATAATATTTGTATTTTTTGCGTGGTTTATGCGAAAGATCGTGTTTTTCAACTAATTTTGTATAAGCTAATTCGCATCTACTTATAATATAGTGACAATTTAAATGAATTTAATTTCAGTGTATATTTTTAACTTTCCGTAGGGTAAGTTATTGTAATCGTTCAAAAATCGCAATCGAAAATTTTTGCACACTTCACGTTTCGAAGGTATCTGAACATTTTGGAATACAATAGAAAAAAATTATATGTGTGTCTGTGTATTTGTGTTATATTTCGTGTATAAATGATGTAATGAACATTCGATTCCTACTGATGGCGAGACGTACTGATTAGTTTTCAACAAATACAAGCCGGAGATACGGAGCAAAAATGGAAACCGAGTTTTTAAGAGAACAAAAAATCCGATTTAAATGATTCAAAAAAGCTTTTGCTTTTTCGGACGACAAGATTGTTTTTCGAAAAAAAAACAAAAAAATATATTTTTTGTTAACTCTCTTTTTTTAAAATCGAAAATAATTCTAATGGAATCAATAATTTTAACTTTGCCATTCAGTTTATGCAATTCTTAGAAATACTTTTCAGGCAAACATATTTAAACGTCATCGTCCAATTTATAAGCCCTTTTATTTTGTCTACAAATTCCAATGATAAAAGTTACAGTATTTATAATAATATATTTGAAAGCATTCAATAATTTTTCGAATATTTTCGAATTATTTCATTACAACACCGAAAGTTCCAGCAATTTGCTTTAATACACCACTAGTTTTAGGCATTTAATTAATATATTAAAACTAATAATGTCTAAAAACTTCAAACATCGTGAGTTTATACATATAACTATAAAATAAATATTTTCGCATTCAGAATTTCTGAAGAATCGTTTCGGGGGCATCGCGCACTGCTTTGCGTCCGAACGAACTCTATGCAATTGCAGGGTACTATTAGCGTTATGCGCGGGTGTACTGGCTCCGGTTTTTTCAATTTTCCAATGTGTTCCACCAAATTGATTTGAACAATATTTGCAGTACTTAAAGAAGAAACATTAGGCTTTCGAATAACGCTAATTAGAAAGTGGTCCAACTAAACGCACTGCACGAAAACACCAATTGAAAAATTATTTTGTCTTTTTCAGCTAATAATAAACAATTTTTTGGCATCGATTGTTCTACATAATGTGGTCTGAGCCAATGTGAATAGAATCCCGTAAAAATATTTTCGATATCTTTTATGGTTACGCGAAAAAGTGAGTTTGAAAAAAGGGGCCACTTTGGCATATTTTCAATGATATCTCGGCCATAAGATGAGGTACAAAGTTGAAAATTGGTATATTTGTTTTTATCATTTAGAGCTATAAAATGGCGTATAAATTATTTAAATACCAGGGTGGGGCCGATTCTGTATGGCAATGCGCCCATACCCTTTGAACAAAAGTTTGAAGAAGTATCTGATAATTTGATGTGTATATGTCTAGTGATCATTTTTGACAGCCAAATGGCATAATTTTTTCTTTTTTTTATCGGATTTCCAAAACCGCTGGACCTGCTTTTTCAAAATATCAACCAATTCTTTGTTTCATCAATATAAATAAAATGTTTTTTGATTCAATAAAATTGGACAATTTTATTTCTCAAAAACTGAATTGCCATTTTTGGCACTTTTTGTCCCGTATCTTCGAAACGGCTAGAACTGCCTTTACTAAGTCTCTCCACCAATAGGTATCGAATGTTTTTTTTAATCGTTCTAATCGGTATATCCGTGCTCACAAAATCGTCGACAAAAAATTGTATCGGCACATAGTTACATACACAGATACATCCATTTTTTAAGGTATGCCAAAATGTTCAAAAGGCTTTGTGAAATGTTCAGATTTTTTTGCAATTACTATAACTTAACCTACAAAAAGCTTCATATACCTGCAAAAAGATATAAGCAAAATAAAACCCGGTGCACACGACGCCAGATTTCATGCCGGACAGTTTGTTACCTAGCAACGACATAATCAATCATAATTCACGATCTTGCCCGACATATTTTGCGATCTTGCCAGCCAGATTGCACGTTTAAGATCTCTATTCACAACGGCGGTATACTCATCATAATTTCTGTGTAAAACCGTTGCCTTAGCAACGTCGGAATTTGATTTCATATTAACTTCTGTCCTCGAAAATTCCTGCCGTATTTAAATTCTTGCTCCCCAGAAATCCTGTTACGACAGAGATCCTGTTACAAGGAATACTGGCGTCGTGTGCACCGGGCTTAAGACAAATTTCAATGTTGCAAATACATTAGACAATGTCATGCATTAGACAAAATTACACATGTATGTCGTATCTATCAATCCATTAATTAATCTCATATCCATTAGATTAACACATTAATCCAAGTTAAAAGCTGCTTGCATATGTTTGCACTCGATATGGAAACAGAAAATCAATAAAGCAAATAGACTCGGCAAATGTGTATTGGTAAATGCATCGCATTGTTTGAACTGAATTTACGGCATCAGTAGACGTGCGCTCAAAATCTCAAACAGCATTTGCGAATAAATAAACATTAAACATTTAGACGGGCAACATGCGCATAAAATGCCAATCAAATTCGAATACAATGAATGGAAATAGTTGCGGAAACCAGAATTTCATTAAGTGATTTTGGGTTGAAAGAAAAATAAATTGACAACCGTAATTAGATATCGGTATAATTTTTATACAGCTTGTTATCATCTATTAATATAAATTGTAAAATATATTATCTCATAAAATTCATCTTGCAACCACTGTTTAGATACGAATTCATTTAGACAAATACAAAAGCTGCTTCGAAAATCACCCAAATTCACTTGCCAGATAATTACGCCACAATACTAGCTCAGCTAGATTGAAAAAGAAGTTTATTATCTATACTAAATTCTGTCAATTTAAAAATCACGGACACTTTTCATTTCATTTAACTTATTATCCTATTACAATACATGTAAAAATTATTAACTTCCCGTAGGGTAAGTTATAGTAATCGCAAAAAAATTAAAATAATTTTTTTTATATATCTTTACGTTTCAAAGGTTTCTGAACATTTTGGCATACCTTAGAAAAAATGGATGTATGTGTGTGTGTTTGTGCGCGTGTGTATGTATGTGCGGATACAATTTTTCGTCGACGATTTCGAGAAGACGGATCAAACAATTTGAACAATTCTAAAAACATTCGATTCCTCTTGATAAGGAGACGCTCTGATTAAATTTTGGACAAGTCAGGATCAGCCGTTCCGAAAATACGGGGCAAAAAGTGCAAAAAATGGTAATTTAATTTTTGAGAGAACAGAACGTCCGATTTTAATGATTCAAAAAAGATTTTTTTGTATTGACGAAATGAAGAACTGTTGAAATTTTTGGAAAGACATC